TTTTTTTTTTTTTTTTTTTTTTTTTTTTTTTTTTTTTTTTTTTTTTTTTGCGTGTTGTTTAATAAATTGATTGAAAAATAATATCGATAATTTAATTAATTGATGTTTTTGTTTTTGGAAAGGAAAGGAAAGGAAAAGTGGACATTTGTCGGTTTAGAGGAGCATTTGGCATCCACTCTTCAATGCATCAACTCCCGATTAGGGAATATTAATTTTACTGTTTTCTTTTTCTTATTTAGAAAATCATTATTCAAATTACAGAACCAAGCTTGGATTATTTATTTTATTTTATTTTATTATTATTTTGTTTTCCAATTCAATAATTGTAAATAGATAATCATATTATGAACTTTTGAATATGAATGAGAATTAATGTGAAGAAAATTATTTGAATCGATCTGAAATTTTTAGTTGATTGGGTTGGTGACCCAAAAAATTCGAATAAAGTTCTCTATCCATCCCGCTGAACTCGGGTGGGTTGAGTTGAGTTCTCGGGATCAACTCTCTATTTTGAGGTGGGTTGGGTTCTGTAGCTCAATTTTCTATTTTTGAGGTGGGTTGAGTTGGGTTCTCAAGATCAAGATCAAGATCAACGGGGTTCTGAAGCTCAATTCTCTATTTTCGAGGGGGGTTAAGTTAGGTTCTCAAGTTGAGGGTTTTGGAGCTCAATTCTCCATTTTCAACGGGGTTCTGGAGCTTGGAGCTTAATTCTCTATTTTCGAGGTGGGTTGAGTTGGATTCTTAAGCTCAATTGAGTTTTGGAGTTCAATTCTCAAATTTCGAAGTGGGTTGAGTTGGGTTCTCAAGCTTAACTCTCTATTTTTGTGGGGTTGGGATGGGTTCTCGAGCTCAATTCTCTATTTTCAAGGTGGGTTGAATTGGGTTCTCAAGCTCAACTCTCCATTTTTTTTTTTTTTTTTTTTGNTTAACTCTCTATTTTTGTGGGGTTGGGATGGGTTCTCGAGCTCAATTCTCTATTTTCAAGGTGGGTTGAATTGGGTTCTCAAGCTCAACTCTCCATTTTTTTTTTTTTTTTTTGGTGGGTTGAGTTGAGTTCTCAAGCTCAACTCTCTATTTTTGGGTGGGTTCGAGTTGGGTTTAGGAGTTTGCTAAAATAATCTACAAAAACATGTTAAATTAATAATCAAAATTTCATAAAATCTAAATATAAAAAATTTACAATTTCTTCAAAGTGGGAAGCTCCCAACTTTTTGGGACATGTTTAGCTTTTTATTTCATGATATATATATATATATTTGATAATTATATAAATACAAAGCTACTTTTCTTGGTTGAATTAATACATATTTGACCCATAAAGAGTGTCAAATTTGCCTTTTCATAAAGTTTATTTTTATAAATAAAAAAATATATTAGAACAGTGTTAAAGGCATTACCTTACCTGCTCCACTCTAAAAAGAAGAAATCAATACAGTAGGTAATGTCATCAAATCAAATAAAAAATTGCAAACTCAACCGCTCACTCACTACTTTCCCTACCCAAGTCGAACCAACCACGGTACGAGTTAATAAACACGATATAAACGTTAAAATTTTGGAAGTTCGAGAGTATTTTTTAAACAAAGTGTTAACGTTTTTCATTCAAAACTAACGGTAATGGTATTGAGACTCTTCACAACCGCCAAACCCAAGCCAATCAGAAAGAAACAAAGAAGGGATGCATAGTTGCAAATCCATGCAACTTTTATTTGAGAAACTGTTCCCAGTTAGCCTTAGAACAAGCCATGGAGTCAGGATAGGAACATTGATTAAGAACACAACATAATCTTCTTCAATGCAACAATCAATGAGATTTAGATCATCACCTCGTAACTGTGCGAGATTTGGAGCGGAGTTTCCTTAGACACCGGCCTCTGTTCCGACCATAGCTCCAGGTTGACCGTTCCAGTTCCCCAGTGGACGAAACATTTGTAAACTTCCTTGACGTTAAACTTGTTGACTAACGCTAATCCCAAACATTTATCAACTAGCTTCCATTCACCTGGAATGTTGACTTTTCTTTAGCAAGCAAAAGATTAAGCATAACAAAACACGTATTTCCATAGCTAAGATTCAGCCTCAGCCTCGACAACCTTCACGAGTTTTGTTATTGAAGCATGAAATTAATAGATACAACTCTAAAAGTTCAGCACTCAGATCAGAATCGTTCTAAACCACTATGATTAACTCTACACACTTTTCAAAATTCATATAGCTATTGGACATAAAACCTAAAGATCGAAGTCCTACCAGACACAAAATAAATTAAATATTGTGCATAATAGACTCTTAAAGTCAGGGAAGTTCACAAAAGTTTAAGGACGTTATTAGACAATATATCGCTGAACGAAAGAAAATGATTACCATTGGGTAAAAGATCTCCCTCGAAGTACTGCTCCCCTGATTCGGGCCAGATTTCGTGCACGGATCCGTCAACCGATGTGAATGAAATAAAAGATTCGGAAGGATGTAAAAGGTTAAACATTGGATGAACCCTTAAACAGACCAACCTGCAAAATTTTCAAAAACATATAGAATTAGGCAAATAAACAGATCTCTTCAAGTTTTCGAACATATAATCCTCCAAACATCCAAGTTTTCAGCAATGAGGGTAAAAGTAGTCGAGCTTATGGTATATTTGGTGCAAACCTTGAGAAACCACCAGAACCAGCACCTACTTTGACAGCTACAATGCTGGAGTTAATCTGAAGTGCTTTAGCATCTTCCTTTGAAATGTATATTTTTCGTCTTAGGGCTAACCCTCCGTCAATATCACCTTCCAGTTCGAGAGATTCCTCGTCTTCATCATGCTCGATTTTCCTACTGAAAGAAAAGATTATCACCTTCAAGGCATCCGTTAATCGGACTTTGTGTAGTTTTTGGTTTGGTGTAATCGTTTTGAATTGAGGTTCGTTCTTGATTCTTGTAGTTTTTTTGTGGACTCGTTTCGTGGGCTTGTTTTTTTGTATGCCCTTGTACAACGTTTCGTTTTTCTCGATGAAAGCTCGATTTCTAGCAAACAAGAACTGAACTGGCAAAAGTGAATACTCTCCCCAAAGTTTATAAATATTTATGAACTATTTCACTTGTCAAGAAACAAAGACATCTGTTTATGAGTTTATATCCAGAATGAAGTATTCAAGCAGAGATTGGGAACTTACTCAATGATGCTATATTCCTCCGTACATCCAGCGGATCGGTACTCCGTACCGCTGAACTCCTCATAACCATTGATATCAATCTTGCCTTGGAGCCACTGTATCCCTGGAACTCACAGACAAAATGATATCAACCTATCTATTACATTTTATAAGTAAATAATGATAACCAAGAAAAAGAATAAAAATACTGTTTTGAACCATTATATTGTTTTGAACTAGAATCATAAAGACAAGTAGTTTTACTGTTCTGACTCGAGGAGGGTACATGAACAGGTAGTTTATATGTATGGAGTTTAGGGTTTAGAGCAAAAGGGCTCCTCCAGACTTATGAGTATTACCCTAGGGCCTTTCCACGAGTCATAGCGACTCGATGCACACTTTGTGCAAGACTGACGAAGGACCTAGACATACGTGAAATTTAGACCCAAGAGAAAACAAAAAGCCTCTAGGTTGTGAACCTGAGAAGGATTGAGTACTCCTTAAGGGAGGTATGTTGAAAATTAGTTAAACAATGACCTACAAAGTTTGGTACAGACATTAAGCCACAATTTGGCTATCACTAGGGGCAGTTGTGAGCACATAGCCTAAGCTTCCGTACATAGGATTAAGTCCGACAAGAACCTCCAACTAGGTTGCTTACTAAGTAGTTTTATACTCATTCCGTGTTATTCTATTTTTTTTCCCACATAGAGTGTAGACTATTGTTGATGGTGGGAGCATGCAGAGCCATGCAGTTGCAAGAGGTACCCTTTAGGTCGAGTCCCCTTCCTTCTTGTCATTTTATTATTATTTTAAATGCTACTTTCCGAAACTTATGCATTATTTAAACTGATTTGATTTGACTCCACAAATATTACCTTTAAACTACTTTTATGTCGATTTTGAATGCATATTTAAATTTTAAATTCTTTGTGTCTCCTGTTTTACCAAAACTAAATGAAAATTTGACCACTCTTTCTACCCTTGAGTGTTCGAGGCGACCTGTGATTCAAGGTATCAAAAATCAAGTTGTTACCCTTTATTAGTCCTTCCTTGAAAGTACTGTTCCAAAAAGTTAACCCGAATCACCATTACTGATCTCGGATCATAAACTCAGTGGCGGGAATCATCTATGTAGGTCATAATCTAGGACCTTCCCTTAGTTTACCAACATATACTCTAGGATCTAGAAATATGATTAAACATCTAGATGTCATAACATCATTCCCTGTTAAATTTTGATAGCAAATAAAGTTTTAAAACGAAAAGAAAGAGTAATATTTAATTCGTTATTTGAATAACTTGAATGAAAATTACAATAATCATAAAGTTGTTACCTGAAGGAAGGTGTGTCATGGAAATTATTCTACCCCCAATCCAGGGGACTACTTTCACAGACCAATGGCCGCCTTTCAGTTCAATAGGAGTTTTTGAAAGTGATACTCCCTTATGTTCAGAAACCCCTTCATGATCTTGCAAAGTCTTGGCACTTTCTGCAAGGCATTTATTGAATAAGCAATCATAAGTAAAAATGGAGATAACTGTAACCGCTTAAGCCCACCGCTAGTAAATATTGTCCTTTTTAGGCTTTTCCTTTTGGGCTTCTCCTCAAGGCTTTAAAACGCATCTACTAGGGAGAGGTTCCACACCCTTATAAGGAATGTTTCGTTTCCTTCTCCAACCGATGTGGGATCTCATAATCCACCCCCTTGGGGGCCTTGCGTCCTCATTAGCACACCGCCCAATGTCTGACTATGATACCATTTGCAACAACTCAAGCCCACCGCTAGCAAATATTATCCTCTTTGGAGTTTCCCTTCTAGGCCTCCCCTCAAGGCTTTAAAACGCATCTACTAGGAAGAGGTTTCCACACCCTTGTAAGGAATGTTTCTTACCCTCTTTAATCAACGTGGGATCTCACAATAACTGAAACTCAAGAATCCATTATTACTTGGACGGATGACCTTAAAACTACTTGAGTTTACAACTTTTCCTTTGTCCCATTGAGCCAATTTATGACGGTTCAAATATACGTTGACATGACTATTAAATCACCGATCAATTCGAAAGATTAAGCTGATGGGTTAAGGTAAATTTAATTATATCAATACTCCAAAACACCGCTCACTTGTGGGCTTGAAAATTTGTAGAATGCCTACCAAATGAAAATCAATATTAATTGAGAACGAAATGATATTACATGGGTTCGAGCAAAAAATCTCCTTCACTAAGATCATATTGAATCACGATTGATCCGAAAGTTTAAGCTAATAAGTTATGGTAAATTTAGTTATATCGACACACAGTGGCAATAAATTTAAGTTTTGGCAGCGCTTGTTTCTTCCTCTTGAAGAGTTCTTTCGAAAGCACGATCTTACGAGCATGGTGGCCAATTAGATAAGCTTTGTAACTCCTTGGGTTTAGGGTGTTTTCTCAGTTTTGTATATTTCATTTGTTAATAAAATTTTGTTTCCTATATAAGAAATGCTACGTTGAAACGTACTTGAAAGAGAAAAGGAGAAGAATGGAGCTGCAGTACCTAACCGATGGCGATATTCTCGCTCGCTGATGGCTATCAGGTCAGCCGCTTCTTGTTCGGAGGGTAACATCACTTGCAAGACTTCTCCATCTGTGCCCCAAGCATCAATCTGGAGGTGTAGAGAATTACAATAAGAACACAGTCGAGAGCTCCCAAAGGGACTTTGGAAATAAAAGAAAATGCACCTTTGCCCCTCCACCCAGTAGTATCTGAACATGAAGACGCCGCTTTGGCCTTGCCCATGATCCTTCAGTTCTAGAAACTTGAACAGAAACAACTGAAGATTCTAGTTCAGCAACATAATGTGTCAATAGGTATGCACCTAAAGTGAAACCATATCCGTCACCATCATCTTCATATAGAACACCTTTAGCCTTTCCTGTAATTACATTGAAAATTATTAAAATTGGACAAGGAAAGAAATTCCAGAAAAATGTTAACTTGTGAACTGTAACAGCCAACCCAAGTCCACCGTTAGTAGATATTGTCCGCTTTGGCCTGTTATGTATTGTTGTCAACCTCACGATTTTTAAAACGCGTCTACTAGGGAGATGTTTCTACACCCTTAAAAGGAATGTTTCGTTCCCTTCTCCAACCGATGTGGGATCTCACAATCCACCCCCCTTGAGGGCCAGCGCCCTCGCTGGCACATCGCCCAGTGTCTGGTTTTGATACCATTTGTAACAGCCCAAGTCCACCGTTAGCAGATATTGTCCGCTTTGGCCCGTTACGTACCGCTGTCAGCCACACACTTTTTAAAACATGTCTACTATAGAGAGGTTTCCACACCCTTATAAAGATTATTCCCCTCTCCAACCGATGTGGGATCTCATGTGAACAGAACAAAATCTAGTTAAAGGCGCTTCTAACGAGGTAATAAATAGTACCGATTACTAGGTCAGTCTACACTTATTAATGGAAGGAAAATGATACCCTTTGGTCTTTAGGCGGTCAGAAAGTAACGACAACTAGTCAAGAAAAGAGTAGGATAAGAATATAAGTATATGTGTGGTAGAGAAAGGACAATATACAGATCACTTCATGGTTAATCCCAAAAAAATGTGAATAAGACAATGTCATCACCATTTTCATCTAAAGCCACAAGAAGAGATACATCATCAGAAGGATTTGCTTCTCCAGTATGCTGGTGTGCAGGACCTAAAGGAACAATTGATCCACCTTGCAGAAATAAGACTGGTAGATCCTGCAATGAACCAATGCACGTGAAAAAGAATAACAAAGAAAGCTAGAAACAAAGCAATTAAATCAGCAAGCAGAAATTACCGGATGCGAGTCATCGAAATCGAATCTCGACCAAATTCCCTTCGGCAATGTCAAATTTAAATTGTCGATTCCTTGGTTGGGCAAAGTGCTGCTCAAGAACAAGTGTTAGTATAAAAATAATTGGATTGATACTGTAACAGTCCAAGTCCACCGCCAGCAGATATTGTCCTCTTTGGGCTTTCCCTCAAGGTTTTTAAAAGGCGTCTGTTAGGGAGAGGTTTCGACACCTTTATAAAGGGTGTTTCGTTCTCCTCCCCAACCGATGTAGGATATCACAATCCACCCCCCTTCAGGGCCCAGTATTCTCGCTGGCACTCGTTCCTTTCTCCAATCAATGTGGGACCCCCACCAAATCCACCCCCCTTCAGGGCCCAGTATTCTCGCTGGCACTCGTTCCTTTCTCCAATCGATGTGGGACCCCCACCAAATCCACCCCCCTTTGAGGCCAGCGTCCTTGCTAGCACACTGCCTCGTGTCTACCCCTTTGGGGAATAGCCTCCTCGCTAGCACATCGTCCGGTGTCTGGCTCTAATATCATTTGTAACGGCTCAAGTCCACCGCTTGAAGATATTGTCCTCTTTGGGCTTTCCCTTTCGGGTTTCTCCTCAAGATTTGTAAAACGCGTCTGCTAGCGAGAGGTTTCCACACCCTTATAAAGGGTGTTTCGTTCTCCTCTCCAACCGATGTGGGATATCACAGATACTCTACCAGCCCCACTACTTAACCCTTAGTACCCAAAAAAAAGTTACCCAGAAACTGATATTTTATATACAAAATAAGAACCTTGAATAGATTAAAATTGAACCCAGAAGAAAAGAATTTTCAATTTTCCTCAAGTTGGCATCTTTTGGATCTGCAAAATGTTAAAACGAAGTCAAAAAAATGTTGTAACCAGAAAGAAAACATATCAAAGCTGGATAAGTAAGGTAACCCACCAGCAAAAAAAAAAGGAGTTGCAACAGGAACACCCGTTGTATGAGCCATATAGAAAAGAGTGTATATATGAGGTAATAGGCGGTAGCGTCTCTTCAACGCTAGGCGGCAAACTTCTTCACACTAACAAATGATCAAAGCTTTTCGGTTCAAATAATTTGAAGATATCAGAAATAATCCATAAACCCATGACAATTTAAACCATTTGCAATAGGTACAGGCATATAACCCATGACAACACAGGTATTCGTCAATGATATGAAATAAGGTGTCATAATGAAAGTTGCATATTATGCTTCTTAAGTCATAAGCTTGTTCCTTTGCATTTTTTTCGTTTAGATTTGCATGCTAGAGTCATTGAAGTAGTCTTGATCAAGATATCTTGTGGAGTGATTCGAATCACGAGATCTCTTTACTCTTGATCTTGATCGTCAAAGTAATCCGTTCCTAAACATTTCCTTAGGTTGATTCCTTAATGTTTTTGGAGTTCTTGGATAATTTAGATCTAAAGGTCTGGTTTTTCAGAACCAGCAAGATTATTAGAGTTTCATAACAAGTCACTCTTAATCCTTTAATATGAACGGCATTAACTAAGGAGGAGACACTAACAGTCACTCTTAATCCTAAGAGTTTCCTAAACTTCCTCTACCATGTTTGTGCAGTGTACATTAATTAGTCATTTGATGGTGTCAGATTCAAGTCATTAAACTCAAATCTTCTAGACAAAAATGATCCTTCTCATTATATATTATAACCCTGAAATGATGACCAACAAAGTAAATATAATATATTTAGGTTAGGGAAAACCTCTTCTCCAAATGACCATGGTTCATGGTCAGCAGTGCTGGTTTCAGAATGCCCACGGCAGAAAGGAAACATAGCACCAATTCCCATCCACCTTCCGAAAAGCCTAGGTGTCGCATTTCCAGCAAAGCCACCAATGTCTGGTCCAGATAGAGGCTGACCACTGAGTCCCTGAAGAGCGACAAGCGAGAAGATAATGAAATCTAAATCGAAGCCATAATCATAACTCATTCTTAAGACCTTAGTAAAAATCAAAGCATTTAAGATTCTCTCAACCATTGATGTTAATAAAAAAAAAGGTTATGGCCACTGATGTTAATCTAATATTGTAAGATGCTCCTCTCCTCATCTTTGTGGACCCTCCTATCCCTTTCCTTCAAACTTCCCTCATAACAGGCTAAATGTGCATCTCTCCGAAAAGAAAAAAAAAAAAAAAAAAAAAAAATCTTAATACTTTTCTCGTAGATATTTAGATTATATTTGACACTATGCAAGTGATTGATCCGTTGGGCCATGCTTGAACACCATCTTAGACATTTCTCTCCAATTACAAATGGTATCAGAGTCAAACACCGGGCGATGTGCCAGCGAGGAGGCTGAGCCCCAAAGGGGGTGGACACGAGGCGGTGTGCCAGCAAGGACGCTGGGCCCTATAGGGGGTGGATTGGAGGGTCCCACATCGATTGGAGAAGGGAACGAGTGTCAGCGAGGACACTAGGCCCCGAAGGGGGGTGAATTCTGAGATCTCACATCGGTTGTGGAGGAGAACGAAGCATTCTTTATAAGGGTGTGAGAACCTCACCCTAGCATACGCGTTTTAAAAACCTTGAGGGGAACCCCGAAAGGGAAAGCCCAAAGAAGAAAATATCTGCTAACAGTGGGCTTGGGTTGTTACAATAACAAAAATGATCTTGTTTTGACAATTGATAAAACCTACATATGCAGATTGAAGTAGAAATTTTGCACAGAGCCAATAGTTAATTACCAACTGAAGTATCATGGAGATGCTCATGTGAAGATGCTCCCAGCTTGAAATGTTATCGCCTGTCCATGTAGCAGCATACTTTTGGCTACCAACAAAACCAGCCCTAGTGAGAACAAAAGGACGCCTTTCACTGTTAGCCGATTTCATCCCTTCATATGTTGATCTAGCCATCAACATTCCATACACCTGAAGTACAAAACCGTGTAATTAAATATAATCAAATATTGCTAAACAAACATTCCGAAAACAAGAAGCATTTGCACTTGTGGTGTTCGATACGAATGGCTCAAGGTTATGCTAGGGATTATACATTGTGATAGTAAGAATGATTCTGGCAACCCCCAAATTCTTCATCGCCTCTATGAATGTTACTCTCGGGCATCGTTTTAGTTACAGTCTGAAAAGAAAAGTGATGATTAATGGTAAAAGATACTGATGAAAGTGTAAGCACAAACTAAAAATAATTTACATGTAGTATTACCTTAAAAATAGCTGGTTCATTCATGTCGTTCCATATACCATCAACACCATTAGAAACAAAATCCTTAACTAAATTTGCCCACCAATCTCGAGCTTTAGCTTGTGTAAATTCAGGAAATACACATGGCCCGGGCCAGACCTCACCTAAGACAATTAAGAAGTGTTTAGTATACCATTAAAAGGTCACAATTTAAGTGCCAATGATAAGACACATACCTACGTAAGGTTCTCCATTAGCTTTTTGGACCCAAACATTTTTTTCAGAACCATTGTCATATACAAAATAACCTTTTTCATGTTTGATTCCAGGATCAAGCATCCAAATAGCTTTCATACCAATTTGGTGAAGATCGTTCACCAAAGTTTTTGGATCAGCAAAACGCTCCTGAGAAAATGTCACTATTATATGCATGCCTTTTCTCCATTTAGTGTATAGAAAAGATACGATAATTAAGTTCAAACCCCGAAGGTAAGAGATGCATGTGAAGAACCATTTAGACGTATAATCATGTTAAAGATGATTAAAATAAGAAGTAAAATGTAGTCGTCATCGATGGAGATCAATTAGACAATGACATACAGGGTCGAAAGTGAAACAACGGAAACCATCCATGTAGTCTATGTCCATCCATATAACATCGCAGGGTATATTTTTCTCTCGAAACGTTCTTGAAACCTGCAATAGTTTACAGAAAAAGAAACCAATTAACAGCTTAACTATTCCTTATAGGACCTTAAATAGACTAAATTCTAACTAGAATTGTTGTACATTGCTTTTTGCATAGTCAAGAATGGAAAAGACATGAACACTTGCTTAAAATATAAGCAGTAGTTGGGCTGACATAGATATACTAGTCCTGCACAAAGCCATATTCATAAGACCAATTGTCCCTGATTATGAAAATATCAGTGTATTCCAGCCTACCTCGAGTACTCGATCAGCAGAATCATAGCTCCAACGGCATTGGTGGTAGCCTAAGGCCCATTTTGGGGGCATAAACACAGTGCCTAGTGGGAAAATAAACCGTTAAGGCTTATAACAAAAGCTGAGAGTTTTTTAACACGGTTAATATCCAAATTATAGATGATGATGACTCGATTACAACGACCGAACTAGTGAGCAATAACTTCATCGACCAAAAATTATAAATTATAATCTTGTTTGATGAGTTAAAGCGATGTAAAATTACAGAAAAGTTAAGAATTGAAAAGAAAATTACCAACTGCCTTAGAGAAGGACTTTAAAACAGCTGATGGCGAGGAAAATGGACCGAATGTAATGACGGGATATGAGGAAGGAGCGATGAATTGTATTATTGAATCTTCCCTCAGATCAATCTCACAACGCAGGGACGTGTCGGCAAGAACACCTAGTGCCTCCCCATTTGGAAGAATGGCCAACACCCATGGATGTGATTGGTACAAGGATGTAGTTCCAGAACCATATCCATAAGCATCTGTGTTCCATGTGAAAATCTACAAGGGAGGGAACTGCTAAGGTCAAGAAGAGTTAACTAACTAATATCAAGTACACCGAATTATTAACGTACTCTTTTCCCCGTTCGCTCGAGTTGTCCACTAACTTCCCCAGTTCCATAAAAGGAGGTACCAGCAGGAAGCTGTAGAAGTCAAATTTGTCAAATTACTTTGAATGGATTTCAAGACTCAAAGTGTATAATTCATGATCAGAAACCATAACTGCAAGATATCAAATGACAAACGATAATATTTATACGAAAACGGACCTGAAGTTTAACAATCTGCTGGCCAAGGTGACACTCGAAAACAGGAACATATGTAGCAAGCTTCTGGCTAGAAATCGGTGTGTCTCTATCCTTAGATTTTATGAAAGAAAAACTTGGATAAGCCGCAGCTCTATCGTTTGCAGAACAATCAAATCGAAAAACACCATCTTCCAGTATAGGCTCAAAAATCATATTCCCAGAGACAGTGTCTATTGTGATTCCTTTCTCTTTGGTGTTCCCCATTTTACACGCAAACTTTCCTGAAATCAACTTCTTGTTTGTCCACTTTCTCCTGTATCCCAAAAATCAAAGGGAAAAAACATTCAGATAGTTAAGCCTCAATGATCAAATACCCAAAATTTGAAATGAATATGTCACCCTGGGCCAATTCAGATTAGAGTATAAACATTAAATCCAAGCATGCACAATTTTGAGATTTTCACACCCTTATAAGCATGTTTTGTTCTCCTCCCCAATCAACGTGGGATCTCACAATTCACCCCCTTCTGGCCCAGCGTCCTCGCTGGCACTCGTTCCCTTCTCCAATCAATGTGGGACCTCCCAATCCACCCCCTTTTGGGACCCAGCATCCTTGTTGGCACACCGCCTCGTGACCACCCCCTTTGGGACTCAAACTCTCGCTAGCACATCACCTGGTGTCTTGCTCTAATACCATTTCCAACGGCACAAGCCCACCGCTAGTGAATATTGTCCTCTTTGGGCTTTACCTTTCGGGCTTCCCTTCAAGATTTTAAAAAGCATATGCTAGAGAGAGATTTCCACATCCTTATAAAGAATGTTTCGTTCTCCTCCTCAACCGATGTGGGATTTCACAATCCATCCCTTTTTGGGGCCCAGCATCCTTGCTGACACACCGCCACGTGTCCACCCCCTTCGGGGCTCAGCCTCCTTGCTAGCACATCGCTCGGTGTCTGGCTCTGATACCATTTGTAACAGCCCAAGGCCACCGCAAGAAGATATTGTCCTCTTTGGATTTTCACTTTCAAACTTCCCCTCATGATTTTTAAAACACATCTACTAGGGAGAGGTTTCCACACTCTTATAAAGAATGCTTCGTTCTTCTCCCCAACCGACGTGGGATCTCACAAAAACAGCTAAGATTCTGTAGACCAAGATTTGAAAAACCATACAAAAAGAAAGTTAAACAGAGAACAGATTGGCTCTTTGTCACATTCAATTGGGATCAGCTATGAGAGACTAATAATTATGATGTAGCTCAAGAAACGAGAGTCTAAAATGTGCAGATTCAATCATTCAAGCTCGTTTCTGAAATCAAACATATCATTATTCCTCAGAGAGGACGTGAGTTCCGAATTGCTACTGATTTCGAGTCGAATATGTCGAGAAATGCCAAAAGTGCGATCAAATTTATATGAAATGATGAACACAACAATCAAAAACAGCATCGATGAACAAATAAACCATCAAAATCCTAACGAAAACGAACTAATCTGAATCGCCAAGGCAAAAGATAAGGTAAAAAAAACTAGCAAGAACCTGGAGAAATGAAGCTTGTTCGAATCACAAGAACGAGAACCAGATATTCTTGTTGTACAAATGCGATGTATAGAATTGGGAGTCCGATTAAGCCAAGGAATATATCCCGATGATCGCCCACATCGAGCCACTAGGCCACTCAAAACTGATGATTCTTCCATCACTTTCGAGCTCAACCTTTTTATATTACGCGCCCCGCATATGTGCAGCCCTCATAATAACTTTTTAGGATTAAAAAAACAATAATCTCTTTCTTTTCAGTTAATTTAGCTGCTGCTCGCCATATCCATTGTGTTCTGCTGCTTCTTCAGTGGCCTAAAAGTGAGAAATCCCCGAGATTTGTTGTCATGTTCATGAGAATTGAAATTTCATCGCAAGGGAAAGATCTTACGGGAGTTGTATATACTAATGAAATGTGATAATTTGCTAATTCGAGCAGTTGAGTGGACAGGACACTTGTTGAGTAGATACCACACCTCCGAGCATTCATTCTAGAACTTGATAATCAGAGCAATTTAATGAATAACACACCTATTCCTAATTATATATTTTTCTTGAGTGAAAAATACACATTTAGGTCCAAAATGAAGATGAAGAATCTTGTCTGATGAAGACGACTCTCCACAATGATATCATATTGTCCACTTGGAGCATAAGCTCTCATCACTTTGCTCTGTGCTTTCCCAAAAGACCTCATAACAATCCCCATAATCATTTAGCAACGTGGGGCTTTCATCATATAACAAATCTAAATTTTACCCATTTGAATTTAGTAGTATTTTGATCTCTAAATTTTTAAGATAGTTATCGATCCTTTTCAGGTAAGTGTAGAATAGACGGTGTTGATAGATGTCAGGGTAAGGTTGATAAATACATAAATACTTTTTCAATTAATGTAATAAAAGTATATTAATTTTATATTTATGAAAGGCAAGATTAATAAAAATACAATCTAATTACGAGTTTTGTCCTTATAATTAGTTTTGGACGAAAGTCATTAATCATTTGAAAACTTAAGTGTATTCGAATCTTTGTTAGAAATATTATAATAAACTTAAATTAAGTTTAATTTTGGAACTTGATAAATAAAATTTCTAATAAAATTTAAATTTTGCTTTGAAGGGTTCAATAATTAAATTTATAGTTTTTATTTTTTAAAGATTAGAAACGTACCAAATTTGTAATTACCCATCATTGACATATTAAAAAAAAATCCTAAACTTTTAATTTAATGTCAGTTCATATTAGATACTCAATCAAAATTCAAATTGAAATTTTAAGGACTTTTAAAAACTTGTTACACACCAAAAAAGACTCTCTGACTTTACTTTTGTTTTTTTATTTAAATAATCTTATTCCAATAGAGATAATATCCTTTACTTATATATCTATAATCTTTCTCTTAATTAGCACGTAACCTATTGAATGAATACAATTGTTGTACGGCTACCCGTAACTCCAAAGGAGGCTAGCCGTGGACAAGTGTCCCCGAGCCACTGCTATAGCTTTGATGGGGGAAAAATGCATGCTTTTTATGAAAGTTGAAAGAGGAAGACATTCAATTCAAACAACACATGGATGAGCCCTTTGATTATGGTGAACAGGGTTGTAACATCTGCTGGTTCATCTGAGATGATAAGTGTATCATCCACGTGCACATGCGATATCAAGACTTGTAATTCTAGTGTTTGAATGGATCATGGGGCTGCTGGCAATAGTTCTTAATGAGGCCGGTAGGAGAGGAGAACAAAACATTCTTTAGAAAATGTGGAAATCTCTCCTTAGCATATGCGTTTTAAAAATTTTGAGGAAAAGCCCATAGAGGACAATATTTGATAGCAGAATAGAGTGAAAATCTCTCCCTAGCATATGCGTTTTAAAAACTTTAAGGAAAAGCCCAAAGAAGACAATATGTTACAAATGGTATCAGAACCAAATACCAGATAGTGTGCCAATAATGACATTGAATCTCGAAGGAGGGTGGACACCGAGTGGTGTGCCAGTGAGGACACTGGACTGTGAAGGAGGGTGGATGTAAGGTCCTATATCAATTGAAGAGAGAAACATGCGATGCTGGGCCCTGAAGGAGTTGGATTGTGAAATCTCACGTCGATTGGAGAAGAGAACTAATGTCAACAATCACGCTGTGCCCTGAAGGGGGTGGATAGTGAGATCTCACATCGGTTGGAGAGGAGAACGAAGCATTCTTTATAAAAGTATGAAAACCTCTCCCTAGCAAATGCATTTATAAAATCTTGAAAAAAAGCTCGAAAGAGAAAGCCTAAAGAAAACTTCTTTTGCCAACTCTAAAGATGAAATTGTTAAATTAGCTTTATCCTAAAATAACCTCTAGCTTTCTAAATCCTGTTGACACCGTCGACACTTATCAGCTTGAATACTGCTTTTAAGTGGAAAAAAAGAAAAAAGCAATTAACAAGCCCAAGTATATTAATTTGGTTAAAAGGTTGAAGATTCATTAGCGAAATCCAATAGTAATAATACTTGCACATAGTTCATTGTGTAGTTCATTGTTACACAATGTAGATAAATATGGTAAAAGTACTGAACTTAAACAAGGATTATTTCAACATCATTGTTCATACAGATAATCGAGAAACTTATCAGTTAGCAGCAGCTGCCTCTTGTAACTGTTTCACCTTCGTGATGTAGTCGCTCATTGCATCATCCTTGGATTTTGCTGCAAAAACATTTAATTCTCTTCAATCAAGCTCATTGTTGTACATTTTTTACAAATCTTTAATCTAATAGAGTTCATGGCAAAAAAGAGTAAACATATTTCAATGTCATCGCAAAATAGAGAAAATCCATTTCATAGTGTTGAATTCTGAGAAAACATACCTTCAACAGCCTTCCAGGCATCCCATTTGGCTCTGTCTCTCTGGTTGAACACTCCAGGTCGGCCTACAAATCAATCATAGTTGCAATAAACGGTTACATTGGAGAATTTGATCACATAATTCCATCTATACACAAATTTTCTTTAGAAATTATATTCAATGAAAGACAGTACTTACTAGTGTTCACGGGTCCAACAGTGGCCTGCTTGTATAGTCCATAGAGAATGAGTTTGTTTTCATTGCTTGTGTTCTCCGGCAAGGTCTTTGCCTTCTCAGCATACTCCTCAAACTCCTCCTGCAGAACTCAGCCTCATCAAGTTGTGATACAGACTGCGTGCTTTTAGTTCAATATAACAGAACAAATATATGAAGTTCTTACAATTCTCTGCACCTATTGCCCTAAATATCTAGAGTCAAGCAATCAATTTGGAAACAACCAAAAGATTAACATCTCTCGATCCGGAACGACCAGATGTCGTTCATTCTTCGAAAGGCAAACACAGATCGACTCTAAAAAACACAGATCTGAAAAGACAGATCCAACAGAAATCATTCTAACGAAGTCCAACAAATCTAACATATTATGAATGCATAACTACGACGCAAAACAAGAGACATGCAGCGATCTGCACTAATACCCTAACTCAATGCCAAGATCATCACCAATGAAAAGCTAAAGCATAATCATTCGGCATCAAATCACCCATTCTAAACGAAGAATTCAACTACTGGTCGAACAAGAAAATGGCATAAAGAGAAGGATTGAGAGCTTCGAAGCTAATAACGTAAAGAAACTGAGAATTCAGAAGAAGAATGAGAGAGAAACCTACCTTCAAACCCATGGCGACTCGAAGCTCAATACAGAAACGAAATACTAACTGGGGAGGACGACGAGTGTGGAGCTTTTAAATACATGGAGGTGAGTGGAACAGAAGGAATAAATCGCCGAGTAATCGCCTTCAAAAGAAATTTATATATATATATATATATATATATATATATATAAATAAATAAATAAAAACTATATTTTCTTATAAATAAAATTTTTAAAAATAAATAAATAAATACTGGTTGGTTTCTTTACATTTGTTTTTTTATTCATTTTAATACATATATTCTTAAATTGTTTATATATGGACCAAAATCAAATAAAGTCAAAATATAGGGACCAATCACAAATTATCTGTTAAAATTATTTTTGTTAGGTTTATTCTCTAATTTTTCTATTTTTTTTCATTGAAAATTAGTTTAATATATTTTTTATAATAATTGAAACGTGTGACTAAAAGAATTGGAAAATAATTTTAAAATGAGATAATTAATTTAATTATTTTAAAATTACTCCCTTCTATTCTCAATATATAATAATTTAATCTCTCAACTAGAGTATTAATTTATATGATATAATAATTTAATTATTTTTTGTAATATATAAATATTGTTGATATTTGATGTAACAAGATTTATTAAAATTTTAACAATAATTTTTATAATAATAACTAAATTATTACGAATAAATACGAAAATTAAATTGTTACACATTATAATTTTAATACGAGTAAATGGGATATATTTTAGGTACAATAACTAGCTTTTGTTTTTTTGAAATTAAGATGTTATTGGAGAAATAAAATTTTTAAAAAATAACTTAAATATTTATCCAACCAAACGAAATTATTAACAAATTTGATCTAAATTATTATTATTATTATTATTTTAAAATAAATAAAAGGTAAAGAGACTGAAAATCGCCGAGTGGACGCACGATATAACGTAGTCGAATCCAGTGGGGACCACACGAGTGGGGATATTCCTCCCGATCAGCTACGGATGGGCGGGGGAAAATTACGCAACCCTTGTGGGGTCCACTATTGTTTATTATTTCGATGATCTCTAAGCGTTGGCACTCCCAATTGAGCCTTGTGATCTCGCCACGTGTCATGTGGCCCCCACTTTAATAAATTATTCATTAAAACATTTTTTGATTCAGATATATTTTAATTTAGTCACCTTATTTTAAATCTTTACTTTTATTCTATATATTTTTAATAAAAAAAAATAAAAATTAATACTTACGTAGAATAACTAAATTTAAATTAGTTTTTATTAAAAATAAATAGACTAAATTTAAGATTTATTAAAAACAATTTTTTCATCTCAACGATATATTCTAGTCTCGAGTCTCAAGTCTCTAACTGCAAGTTGAAAGTGCAATATCTTAACTAGTTGAGTCGTGTTGAAATCGACGAGACGAAACGAAGGTGTAAGGACACGAGTTCAACTCCGCTTGGATTGACTTTTATAAGTAATTAAAAATAATATATTGACGCAAATTTAAATATTTTTGGAAAATAATAAATGAGGAAATGGGCTTTACGGTCCAAGTAGGCCCATGAATACAACACGCCTGAGGCCCATCCTTGAAGTCTTGAAAGCCCAAAAAACTTGATCGGAGAGGTCCAATGGGCTTTTGCCACGTTTCATGAGTTTTAATATATATTTTTAGTTTTGTTCAGTTATTCTTTAAAATTGTCACTCTAATTTAGTACAATACAGCCGATAAAATGAGGGTGCATTTG